CAATGCAAGGACCGCAACGCCGGGAGGGCTGCAACTATCCTTGCAATGCAAGGACCGCAACGCCGGGAGGGCTGCAACTATCCTTGCAATACCAGGTCGGCAGCACCGAGAGGGTGCCGTCGCACGAACGCCAAGCAGGGCAAAAAGGATACGGCTGTGACCCAGAAGCCGGGGATGTCCTCGATGAGCCGGTTGCGGCGCTCGAAGTGCGGCCGCCGCAGCTCGCCGTACTTGCGCTCGACCCGCAGGATCTCCTCGCCCGCGCGCTCGCTCAGCGCCTCGAGCTCGCGCTGGCACGCGTCCACCGCCTCCAGCGCGCGCTGCGTCTCCCCGGCGGCCGGGGTCGCCCGGGCGACGGGCGGCGCATGCGCGGACGCCGCCGCGGCCGCCGCCACCACCACCACCGTCGGCTTGGCGCCCAACGCCGCCGCCGCCGCCGTCGGTTCGTCTCCGCGCTCCGGCGCCTCAAGACGCGGCAACTTGGCCCCGGGGCCGCCGCCGCCGCTCATCGCCGTGAGTTTCCTCTTTTCCAGTTAAACCGAAACCCGCGCCCGTTGTATTTTTTTAAAAAAAAAACTTTCAACGGAAACGACGCTCCTTCTCGAACTTTCGACGCGGCGCCCTGTTTTTTTTTGGCTTTCCTCGATCCGTCGCCCGATTTATTTATTCATTCTTTGTCGACTTCTTTGTTTTTCCCCCACCACCTCAGCGGTTTTGTTTCTTTTTTTCCCCCTTCAACGGTTTTTTTAATCGAAATGTTTTTTTTAAAACCCCTCCCCCATCTCTCCCTCTCTCTCTCTCTCCCTCCCTTCGATCGGCACCCGCCAGTAAACGCGGCTCCCGTTGGTCCCCCCCGCTCCTCCAATCGGAGGCCATCGGCGGCCGGACGGCGGCTCTCGATTGGTCCCGGCGTTCGCCCGCTCCGCTGGCCCTCCGCCTATGGGCGGCCGTCCGCCCGCCCCCTTCTCCAATCACCGCCTCCCACCCGCCCACCGTGGTGTACGGGCGCTGCCATTGGTTCGGCTCCCCACGCCCACCTGACGGCCAATCGTGTTGCGGTCACTTCCTGTGCCTGCTCCCCCCCCCCCCCCCCCCCCCCCCCCCCCCCCCCACTGCCGCTCCCCTCCAATCGGCGGTCGACACGTAAAATGAGGGGCGTCCACATTGGCCGGGCGGCACGTGAGGACGCGGAGTCGTGTTGGGTGGGGGGGGCCTCTACCGCCTCTGCCAATCAGCGGCGGCCTTCCATCCGAGCAGCCCGCGACTCGTAAAATGGGAGCTTCCATTGGCTCGCCGGCTGCCACCTTCCCTACAATCGGCGGCGCCGTCTCATTGAGGTCACTCACACCGTTTACAAGCGCTCTCCTGAATGGCCAAGGTGTTGGCGGTAACAGGCGGGAGGAAGTGACAGTTAAAATTACTTTTAAAAACAAACACATTTCCTCTTCCCTGAGGCGGGAGCAATCCTCCCCAGAATCTCCGAAGGGTTTAAATAGACCTCACCCTGAGTTTATCTTAAGCTTCCAAAGTGTGGCCACAGGGTCAAGGGTCAGCTTGATCCTACAGACCGGAAGTTGGGCAGCACTCCAGCTCCCAGAGTTGGAAGTGGCCCTTTTACTTTCAACAGGGAGCCATTCACTATCAAACACACCCACACTCATAGAGCACCATGTCCTGGCCCCGTCTCCCTATCCCTCAGTCAGACCCACACTGGGACCGCCGCGCATGGTTCCCGTCTCCCTATCCCTCGGTCAGACCCACACTCGGAGCACCGTGCATGGGTTCCCATCTCCCTGTCCCTCGGTCAGACCCACACTGGGAGCGCCGCACACGGTTCCCGTCTCCCTGTCCCTCGGTCAGACCCACACTTGGAGCACCGTGCGCGGTTCCCGTCTCC